TTATGGTTTCTAAAATGCTTGCAAAAGGTTTTAATTGACAGGATCAGCCCCTTTGTCAGACAAAGGTAATGATCGGGGATGCACTCTCTTTGATGGAAACCAAGATTGCAGGCAGTCAATTTCAATCGTTGACATTTGTTTTGCAAAATATATTTTTTATTCAGATATAAAAGTATATATATGTATTACGGTTTCAAATTGTTTGCAAAAGGTTTTAATTCCCGGGATCCATGTGAGTAGAGAGTGCAACACTGTTCCTTGTAGCTGAGGGAGAGGTCTTCTCTTGTCGGGTAGTGTATGATCATTATGGGCTGGGAGGTTAAGTGTAAGACCATTGAGGGTAATACCTGATGGGCTAATCTTGCATTTGGACACAATCCCTGGGTGTTACAAGGTGGCTTGGCCCAGGGACCACTTAGTGTAAGTGTTGGGCCCATAGAGTCCATGTGATGGGCTCAAGGGGTTCATTGGGCTTTTCAGTGAATTCGGCTAGGCCTTGTAACAAAGGCTGGGCCGGACCCTTGTGGCTGATGTGTAGATCAATGCTTGGGTCCCACGCCATACAAGGAAGCCCAACTGGGCAACAGTTTGGAAGGCTAAGCGAGCACATACTATTAATGGGCTTAAAGCTGATTTCGAATTGGGCTGATTTGATCAGTTAAAGAGGGGGCGAATCTGAGATGGGATTAGCAGATAGGATAGGGTCTTACCCTATCTACTCAGCGATTCCAAATCTGAATATAGATTCAGATCTGGAAACCTCCTAATCAGATTAGGAGAGGACTGATCTAATCTGCAGATAAGATAAGGGTCTATCCTTATCTCTTAAAAGGAATTTAGATCCAAATATGATTTGGATCAGCAACTCCTAATGGGATTAGGAGCTGATCCCTTTGAGGTTATAAAAGGAGAAGGGGGCGGCAGATATAGAAGATCGTCACATTCGAATATCAGAGAGAGGACATAACCTCAGTGAGACTGAGTTGTTTTCTCGTTGCCGTCTCCTTCCTGCCGCCGCCATTACTGCCAGTTCGATCTCCTTTTTCTAGAAAGAACGATCAAGATTGGATCTTGATATCAACCTTTGGAGAAAGGCTGATCTGAAGTTGTACTCACAGCCCCAGCGAATTCTTGTGAAGGGTTCGGTTCTTTTGGAAGAACACTGTTGATTCTGCTCCATCCTGTACTGCGTCATCTTTAGTGGGAGCAGTCTTTGGTTTCTACCTTGTGCGTGAACACCTCCATTGGGAGATACTGTTTCTCCGTATCAGGTATATCCCTTTTCTGCTTATGGTTTCAGATCTGGTTTGGTTTATGGTTAAAGATTGATCATTGAAAATGCAGATTTTATAAAACAGGGAATGTGATTCACAGATGAGGGGAGAGGAAATTTTTGAAATTTCGCCCAACCTACCTTCAGAGTTCGGACATCCATATTATGAATCTCTATTCCCTTCAGATATTCTGATCTGGACGGAGACCCGTTTTGGCAACTTAACAACTACTGCTGCTTATAATTTTTTATCCTGTCAGGAAGCTCAACCTTCTTTTCTCGGGGTGTGCTTTTGGAGATCATTTTGGCAGATAATAAAGCACCTTCCTCCTCGAGTTCATATATATCTTCTTATGGTTTTGTTCCTGCCGTAGCATCTTTGGTGTCGACTGTGCGACTTAGAGGAAGAATCCACCTCACATCTTTTTTTCTCTTGCCCTTGCCCTGTTATTAAGAGAGTTTGGTTAATTTGCTTCAACCTTTTCTTTCTGTACAGACTCTAAACCACATCGGATTACTGTTCAAGACTGGATAAACTGCTGGTTTCAGTTGGAGAATCCGTCCAACCCTGCATATATATATTTGTCTATATTAGCTCAGGCAGCCATTTACATGTGGAAGGCACTGTTATGGAGGGTGAGCACTATAAGTGGTCATCGCTTCACAATCACATATTCTTTTCATATTGGCCAATTTGGGTCTTACCTCTTCAAGTTCTACATCCAATTCTACAACACTCAACACAAGAACATGGGCCCCGCCTCCATTATCCTATCTAAAACTTAATTTTGATGCATTGGGGCATCATCTAGTCCTTCGGCAGGAGTTTGTTTCCTTCTCAGAGATGCCAAGGGAGATTTTTGCTATGCTTGCCATTTGGGGATCCATTACCAGCTGGAAGCATAGGCAGCACTTTTAGCTCTCGCTTTTGCTCAAGAACTGGGAGTTTCTTTGGTAATCCTTGAGGGAGACTCTCTTACAGTGATCCAGAGTTTGTTGTACCCTAATTCTGGTCAGACACTTCATAAAAGATTGCAAATTGAGTTCAGATCTACTCCCTACAAGCGATGCCCCACAGCACATTCTGACTTTGTATTGGGAGCATCTCTCCATAACAAGTACAGAAATGATGAGACATTATCAGACATGTTCTCAAATACAAAGTTGAGATGTGCTATAGGGCATATTCTTGCAAATTCCGTATTTCTAGGTTCCCTCACTGGGTTTTCTAGACTTTTCGAGACTCTAATCTTGCTGCACACAAACTGGCCAAGCATGCTTTAATTATCTCTCTGGTGTTCGGCCTGGTTGACTTAAAAATAAAACAAAAAAATCGGTGGGCTAGATCATGTATATATCGCAATATATTGATGGTAGTTATAAAGATGAACACAACCTTATCGTAGCCTACATGTATGGATAGGAAAAATCTATGGTGCTGATACCCGACCAGAAAGATATGGTACCTGAAGTTTTTAATCCTTTTTAGAAACATACGTAGTTACAAATTTCGACTGGAAAAGGCATGATGTTGAAAAAGCTAGCTACAGCTAGTTGGTATTATAAAAGAGGCGACCAATTATTATTAATAAGAATTCATGGGTGTTTTGATTGGCCAAAGATTTTCCGGTACCATGCATTTCCTCTATCATAATTTTTCCGGAAACAAATGAATTATCATCAGAAATAAAAAAAAAGGATTAATATATGCCCTATATATTTGAGAAATTATTTATATATACCTTGAATTTTTAAAATCTATTTGCACTTAAAATTTTTTTAAAACCAATTTACATACATGCCTTGCTCACCCTACATAACAAAAACAGGACCACTCCGCACATTCCAAAAACTTTTGTAATACTAAAATTGCCCTTAAATCTTCGGAATGTTGGACAAATTCTTTTCTCTTCTCGTCGTCCGGAATGGACTAGAGCGGTGAGGATTTTGAGGATGGTAAAACAAGTATAACATAGGAGTAAAGGGCATAGGTATGGACAGTGAGGAAGTGAGTCAAGCCACAGAGAACGATAAAATCATTGAACTAAGTGAGGACCCAACTAAAGGCGTAGATGGCAGAGCATCTAACGATGAAAACACCAAACTTTTGGGATTTTTTTTTCTTTTCTGTTCATTTGGGAAGGAGAAGGAGAAGGAGAGAGAGGGAGAGAGAGTCCCATTCCTTCTTTGTTTTCCTATGGGTGCGTCTGGACCTATGAGCCCCTTTCTATCTTTCTTTAGCTTCTGGCCGTCAACAACATTTTCCAATGTCAGAAGGTCAGTGACTCTCTCTCTTTCTCTCTCCTCCTTCACAAATGAACAGAGAAGAAAAAACAGAGCCCAAACAAGCACTGTTAAGATTGCAGCATCAAAGAAAAAAGGGAGAAACATTGAAAAAAAGAAGGGAGAAAGAAGAAGAGAGAAGGAAAAAGAAAGAAAGAAAATGGAAGATTTTGAAAATTTAATGAATCGTTGATATATAAATTGTTTTTAAATGTTTAAGGCATATATATAAGTAGCTTCTAAAATGTACATGATATATACAAGTTATCAACCCAAAAAGAAAAATGTATAATCATCAGTTGAATAAACATGAAGGAACAAATTACAGGATTATGATACAAATACATGTTACAACAGACCTCCACCTAGTGATTCTAGTTATATACCTTGAATCTTATCCCCTTCATCGACCTTGTATGAAAGTTACTGTGACGTGATTCGAGGAACAAGTTGAGGGTTCATATGAGGGAAACTTTATATTGGGAACGCTTCTCCTCACAAATAAGGCGGGTCTTTTTGGTGGTGGAAGTGCAGCAGTTTCACTAAGTAGTATGACCAAAACAGAAGCCATTGTTGGTCTGTCTATAGCATCCTCTTGAACACACAAGAGAGCCACATGGATGCATTTCAAGACTTCCGACCTATTAATGCATGCTTCTGCTAATGATGGGTCAATTAAATCCACTCCCTTATCTTGTATCCACAAATGCCACACCTGTAAATTCAATCGCCCATTCATGATCGTGAGCAGCAAGGCAATGGAATTAGTAAAGAAGCTCAAGTTAATTAATTAGTTACTTACATATCCTAAAAGGCTTAAGTTGTCTTCCGACTGGTAAAAACCAGTGCTCTTTCTTCCACTGACGATCTCAAGCAGTATGATCCCAAAGCTAAACACATCAGATTTCACTGAGAATAGTCCATCCAATGCATATTCCGGAGACATATAACCGCTGCGTTTCAATCTTAGTAGTTTTAGATTGGAGTTCATGCATGCATTCATTATATATGTGGATTTAATTTATTCTTAATTAGCAGCAACTTCTGCCAAACCACTTCACCACTGGATTTCTACCATTAACGTAACTATTTCTGTATGCAAGTAAATTAATTTAGTTCAGAGCTAGGTAACTTACTATGTTCCTACAACTCTACTAGTATTTCCTTGAGTTTGATCTCTCCCGAAGATCCTTGCCATACCAAAGTCTGATATTTTGGGATTCATCTCCTTATCTAGAAGGATGTTGCTAGTTTTTAAATCCCTGTGGATGATCCTCAATCTGGAATCTTGATGAAGGTAAAGAAGCCCTCTTGCAATTCCAATGATGATGTTGAAGCGTTTTTCCCAATTCAATGACATCCTTCGGTTTTCATCTGCCATATATACATGTGCAAGCTAATGAGCATTCGATTTTGAGATATAGGCTAACTGTGTTTGGTTGCAGTGCAAATTTATTTGCACTGGTACAAATGCATGGGAGTGCAAATGTAAAAAATGTAAATTTTTGTTTAATTGGATTTTACTTTATTCTGTTTCTTGTCTTAATTTACTTCATTTGTACTGCAATCAAACAAAATAAGCTAAAATTCGAAACAAAAATAGGTCAGAACTTACACTCAAACCATCTGCACTACCATGGTTTTACATCAGTGCAAGTTTATTTGCATTGCAACCAAACACAGCCATATATATATAATGGCAAATGGGAAATTCATAAGTTGAAGAAGGTCCAAACCGAAAAGAAGGTAATCCAAGCTCTTGTTGGGCGTATATTCATATAGCAACATCTTGTCATCTCCATGAATGCAATAGCCTAGAAGCTTAACAAGGTTCCTGTGTTGTAGCCTGGCAATTAATATAACCTCATTCTTGAATTCCTGAATTCCTTGTCCCGAATTCTTGGATAGTCTCTTCACTGCTATTTCCTTACCTCCCGCCAATTTACCCTGGAATTAAAAGAGATCTCACACCATTACACTTCTTTTAATTAAGGTTTTTATATTCTATTTTGTAAAGTTAAATTAATTTAGCAAAATATAATATAATAATGCAAAAACTGACCATATATGATTGAGGCAGAAGGTACTAGCTAGCTTGGTGGTAAAGCCTAATAGCCTATTTTGGTATGAAAGGAAAATATGAGAATGAAGTAATTTCTGAAACGAGCTAGCTAGTGCCAAGGAAAACCAAAATGCATGAAATGATTTCAATTTCATCATGCATTGCAATATTGCATGGTACCCGAATATGCATGCCGATCCCACGAGTGATGATTGAGAAGAAGGATATTACCTTGTAAACAGGCCCAAATCCTCCTTGTCCCAGTTTATTGGCGTCATCAAAGTTATTGGTTGCAGCTTCTATAACTTGGAAACCGTAAAATGGAATATCAAGGCCTTCCTCTTCTTCGTCTTCTTCCAACTTGGTTGCATCTAATGCCGATTTTGCACTCGAGGTACTTAGAGCTGAAGGGAGTGACCTCAACGATAATTGCTTCTTTTTTGCTGTAGCAAAGAGGAATTAATTAATATTGGAGGTCTTCATATATAGTTATACACGGAACGTACGGCACCCACCATACTTAAGGAAAGCAAATATTTTCCAAAAAACTGAACTGCATGTAATGCAAGAAAATCATCATCCCTTCTACTATAGTTTTTTTTTTTTTTGTGATAAATGAACCATGCAACCATATATTATTGGGATAATTCTTATATGTTGATGATGAAGAGATAGGGGTAGCTGGGCTTCAAGTATTGGAATCAGGCCCGGCCCTGATGCAAACTGGCTCTAGCTAGGTCAGGCCTGGACACAAAAGCATAGGATCAAGCCCGAAAATCTCTGGGTGGGCCTGCTAGAAATGATTACCAGCAGTTTGTCACCCCTACAGCCTTCTATCACATATATATATATATATATAACTAGTAGTGGTCAAGGATCAGCTGCTTTACCTTTGCTCTGAATTATCCACCACCTCATGATTCCCAAGACTAAAATCCCAAGCACAACGGCTACGGCCGGCACCACCACAAGAGTCAGTCTCTTTGTATGGCTTGAACCACCTGCAGCTGGAACAAATCACAAATGGAGGAGACTTTTCAATTAATTCATAATAAGTTCATAGAAGGAATTGAAGGGCCTTTCACCCCAGCTAACTACTAGTTTTATTTGTAAGACTTGTCCAAACTTTCCCTAGAAGACAAGGCATTACTAGGCTGGAGGGTTCTTTTTTTTTCTTTATATTTAGGCACCGTACCCCTCCTGCATGGCACGTTGGCACGACCGATTTTAATTTAACTTGGTGGTAAACCAAGCTATGGTTCATTATTGGTTCTTGGCTCAAAAACAATGCAAGCAGACAAAATTAATTAATTAGAAATCAAGGAACAAGTAATTCCAAGGTGAGAAGTAGTGCTTAATTACCAAATTCTCCATCTGCTAAGCCTAAGCGAATGTAAAGATCTTTGCTTGTGTTTAAACCATCTCGAATATCAACCAACTGGGCAGACGCAGACCAAAGTAGACAAGAATTATTATGAGCAGCAGCATATGCATAAGCACTGCAGCTGCAGTTGTTGAGGCATTCCCTTTTACAGTCTTCAGCGCTCAACGACAACACGGAGGCTGAGCCTGATATACTCAAGTTCACATTTGTCATAGGCGAGAACTTGTCTTTGGTCCCGCATTGCAAGGCCGACCTTCTCCCGCACCCCTCTGAATAATCTCCCAATTCCCAGTTCTCACTTGACGTGGGCCTGAATCCCGGCAGACACTTGCACTGTGGCAATTTGTAAGTGTTGCAGACGCCATAAGGTCCACAAATCGCGTAGACGCTACATGGTTCGCTTGGTTGAGACCATAATCGGACCCACTGCTGGCTTGTATTGAACCACATGAACAACCTCAGCTGCCCTGATACGTCCATCACGAGCCTCATACTGTTGTTCACAGAGGAAACCTCCAAATACACTTCTTCTGTGTCGTTCATCAGGCTTATTGGTATAGATTTTAGAGTGGGGAAATTGACTAACATCGGTGGGTACTCCGTTTTTCTAGGCCAGATAAACAGCTGATTGGATGCCAATGGGTCGACCCCAAATGTGAAACTTCCCTGAGCCGGGTTTCCTATGTTTTTCCAAGACCTGAGAACCCTGTTTTCTCCTGTCTTTAAGTTCACTCCAACCTTCATACCAGGAACAAGAGTATTAGATGGATAATCAAAACTCTGCCATAGAATCCTTCCCGCGAAATTCTGGGGATTTCCTTCCCTCAAGATGAAATTTCCAGAATCCGCCAGTACAGCAGTTGCATTTTTTGAAACTGTTGAAGTGTTTGTCGACCAGACAATGTTTTGTTGTCCGTCCAAAACCGCAAGATTGCCGTCGTTCCGGAGAGTGAAAACTCCTGTTGAATCTGCAAGCGGGTTTTCCCTGTTGGCAACCCATACGATTGTTTGTATCGGAAGATTGTTATACCAGATTCCAACGTATCGATTCGTAGTAGCAGCAGGACTGAAGAATCCTAGTACAAACTTTTGGTCCAAAGAAATAAGTGTTTCTCCATCACTGATGGATTGATTTGGAGTCATGGTATCTACAGCAGAGCAAAATAGGATAAAGAAACTGGATAAGAGGATGTAGGAGTAGAAGGAAAGAAGAGAGAGAGAACTTGTTCTGGTATTTCCTATTGTTTCCATTTGACCCATCTTACTGCAACATCTGCATTCCCAATTTCAACCTATCTTACTGTGTTTTAAATCAGGATTTGGTTGGTAATTGCAAACTAACATACTATCACATCAAGCCATGATTCATGGACCACTACGTACCCACTGTCTCAAATTTAAGAGAAAGATAATTTGTGGAGTCTTGGTACATCAAAATTTGTGATTGTCATTCTCCACTGATGTTGGTATTAATTCACAGATATATAACTTTACCCTAATCCTTTCATGTCTTGAAGAAATTTGAAGAGTTTGGTAAGTCAGAAACGGTGATTAGTGAACCATCCAATGGTTAGCATCATAGGGATCAGGATTCACCCAAGATTATTTCCATGGTTATCAAAACGGACCGGAAAAATCGGGAACTGGTCCTTTTACCCTAAAACTGTTCTTTCATCAAAAACCGTTGATTTGGATAATAAACCGCTGACTCGGACAGTCAAATTGTTTGAACCATTCAACGGGTTTGACTGTTTTTTATTTTTTATCAGAGAGCATTCGATTTTAAAAACCTTGATTATTTCCACATTTCTGTCATCTCAGCAATTGACTTCAATAGATTCATAAATCCATGCTGAATGCATAGGAGATTTATGTATATGCCATTTACAAGAGCCAGAATTGAGTGGACAGTGGGAGTGGCAAACAAAGTGCAGGGTTAGGCCTTCAAGCACCAAGTAACGTTGACTTGTTGAGGGGGAACAAATTTAAAGGAGAAGTGCGATATGTGAAGAAGCAATAAATCAAATCAAGTGATGTTTTACCAAATAAATAATATAAAATAAATTAGAATATGTTGAATGCTTATTAGTCAAACATGTCTTATCATTTTGGCACACATTTTCTTTATTTATATTTAATGAAAGCTGGTTTATCAGTCGACTAAGTCTTAAAGGGCAAAAAATTGGTGCTTGGGACCCATATTGGCCCAGTTTCCATGTTCCTCTCTGTGGGTCAACAAGGTACTCCGCCAAGCCGTATGTGTTGTGCCATCTGGTAACAACCCACATTTGCTACGATAGTGGTAGTCGTGTGCTGAAACCAGTCCGGATCAGGTAGATGGTAGGTTCAATGAGCACTTAAATTTTTATTTATTTTTCGACATCTGTACCTTAAAATAACCCTAACCTACTCTGGAAAAAGATTAAAAACAATTTTTTACAGTTGTCAAAATGTTTAGTGAGTGTGCTTATGGCTTCTTGATGGGCCCACTGCCAGTACACATGTGATGTGAAAATTACGTATTGTATAATGATAGGCCTAGTACCATGAGATGAGACGATTCAGATTACTTTGCAAATATTTCAGATAGTGTTTTCATATGAAGAGGTTTGGCCGTAATCGAACCATCTTTCCTTATGAAATGTCAAAACTTGTAGGCAAAAAAAAAAGTAATAATTATATATTGGTGTCAACGGCTAAGTATACATCATCAATTCAATTCAGCTCCATGGCCTTCCTTGGCGCTGTAAGTTTGAATATGGTATTTGGTTGTTTGTCATTTCTTTAATAACTTGGCCCTACTTAATTAATGTCTTTTCACCATTTTTACATGCAAACAATGCTATATAAAAAGTTGGTGTTCAACCCTGATTCATTATCATTTTTACGTGGGCTTTCTGTGTAAGGCGGTACCGGGAAATGAGAATTTTCTGTCTTTCTTATATCACGGTATTTATAATTACAAGAGAGGTGGTCGGTTGCGGTGTAACAACCCAGCTAACCGACCAAACTATAAATAGGCCGCGTGGCTAAACCACACGTGGGTCCAAGACTCTAATCTTAACACTCTCTTTCAAGTTGGAGCGTCAAAAGGTATCAAGACGTTCAACTTGGAGCGAAGATGATGAAATTTTTTTGTGGGAAGAGCCTTTGTGAGGAGATCAGCTGGCTGAGAAGAGCTCGATAAGTGAATAGTCTATAAGGAGACATTTTGCACTTTTTCACGAACAAAATGACAGTCAATTTCAATGTGTTTTGTTCTTTCGTAGAATACCGGATTGGCTACTATGTGAAGTGCTACCTTGCTATCAAAATGCAGTTGCATAGGTGATGAAAATTGAATGGTGAGATCAGCTAAGAGGTGTCGAAGCCAAACTAATTCAACTGTGATGGATGCCATTGCCTGGTATTCTGCTTCTGCCAAGGAGCGAGAAACGGTCAGTTCTTTCTTGGTTTTCCAAGATAGAGGAGATGAGCCGAGTAAGGTGATGTAGCCAGTGGTTAATCGTCGGGTGACGGGGCAACTAGCTCAGTCAGAATCAGAGTATTCGTTGAGAACCAGGCTGCTATTGCTCAGAAGAGATATGCTATGCGATGGAGCGCCTTTGAGATACTGAACAATACATAAGGTAGCATCAAAGTGCTCTTGACAAGGTTCATGCATATGTTGACTGAGACAATTTACAGCAAATGAGAGATCGGGCCTGGTTACTGTGAGGTATACTAAACGGCCCACCAGGTCTTCGATATGACGATGAATCAGATAGGATGGGGCTAGAAGTGTCATCAAAATGGCGTTGGGCCTCCATAGGTGTTGGTGATGGTTTGTAGTCTTGCATCCCAGTATTAATGAGAATGTCAGTGATGTATTTATGTTGACTGAGAAATATGCCCTGATTAGAACAGTGGACTTCAAGTCCCAAAAAATATTTTGGGGGGCCAAGATCTTTGATTTTGAACCTGTCATCCATGATCTTCTTGAGAGATGTGATTCGTGTAGAATCATTTCTAGCAAGGAGAACGTCATCAACATATACTAGTGTGGCTATGAAGGAGTCACCCGATGTTAATGTGAAGAGAGAATAGTCGGCATGTGATTGCTTGAAGCCCAAAGAGAGAAGGGCTTGAATAAACTTTTCGAACAACATTTGGGATGCTTGTTTGAGGCCATAGAGGGATTTTTGCAATTTGCAAACTCTATGTTCTCCTTCACGAGCAAATCCTTGAGGAATTCCTCATAAAGGTCACCATGTAGAAAAGCATTTTTAACATTGAATTGATGAATTTCCCAATTTCTTATTGTAGCCATTGCCAATAGACACTGCATTGTGAGTCTGTGACTAATTTTGCTATTGGGGCAAAGGTGTCGTGGTAATCCAACCCTTCAACGTGGGTATAGCCCTTAGCCACAAGATGAACTTTGAACCTCTTGATAGAGCCATCCGCTTTGTATTTAATTTTATAGACCCATTTTGAACTAATTGGGCGCTTTCTTGGGGGTAAGTCCACAAAAATCCAAGTATTGTTGCGTTCTAGGGCTGAGATTTCATGTGCCATGGCTTGGCGCCATCGGGGATCCCTGCTGGCTTAAGCGAAAGTGGTTGGTTAGAGGTGTAAAGTGGGTCGTCCCC